TGGAGCCGCCAAGTCTGGCCGCCGAATAAATCATGTCTCTGACAGCTTGTGGGGATTACACTTTCCCCTTTAGGGGAAAGCGATATGAGTGATTTTTGTTTCGCTGTGCTGATGGAAGCTCATGCTCCGAACCACCGCAACCGCTACCCATCTGATCCAACCCTGGACTCATCTCTTCATTGCGTTAAAGCTGTCTTGAACTGGCTGAAATGTGATTCCCCTCACGCAGCTGTGATGGCTGAGCTTGTCTGAAAAATCGCTCACTCCCGGCGTTTGTCAATTTGTTAAATGATTGACCTCTCAACGTGTCCTGCACCAACTTGCGTAATGGAGCACAATCACCCAGACGATTGGCAGAGTACCACACATGGCTCTGCCCGTTGTGAGGATAGTTCCACTGGGCTGCACAGGTAAGAACAGCACGATCCCCTTGACGGAACATCCGCGAAAAAGCGCCTAACGTACGTTCAATTCACGCTGTTCCCAGTGGAATACGAAGAAAGGACATGGAGGATAAACTTATAAATGCAGGTTATCCAACTTTCCAGTCCCTAAATCCTCATTCACGGACCTAGCGGGAGAAAAATCCGGCTTCCGGTTTGTTGAGCGGCCAGGGAATCTCTCCCATATTTCTCTACAGCGTTTGTTAAAGCTCACGCAGCTTTGAAAGTCTTTATTTCCCCACGAAAAGTCGCTATTTACGGCGTGCTGCTAAGCACATGCAGTTCTCTCCTCATCCGGCTGCGTCAGGCGCCTGACCGCGAACACACGAGCAGATGACCGGCGAAAGTAACCGCAACTGATCTCGGCGTCGGCGAATCGTCGCTCTCGGGGCAGGGCTGACGGCGCGCCGGTCCATCCGACAGCTCCCGGCACGTGCACGTGACACGGGCGCGGATGACACGCACGTGTCTCTCTGACACCGGTGGCGACGAGGCATGGATGTGGAATGAGCACGCTTGGCCATCCGGCCGGCTGGGTTGCGGTGATTACGGCTGCTGTTGTCAGGTCATTGCTGATTTAGACTTTTGGCATCACGTGCGACTGGCATTACGAGGAGCGCCTCCCATGATGGTGGTCACGATGGGACGGGGGATTTGTTCACGAAGTGCAAGAAATTCGAACTATCTCCCAAGCTGAGCTTAGATGTGCTGCCTGGAATCCTTCACAGGGAAGTATTTGCCTACCCGGCCGTGTCGCCAGCCGTGACACCATACCCTAACGCGCCCAGCACCATACCCTATCACGCGCATTTATTTCCTGTTGAATGTGTGGCCTACCCTTTCGGCACGCGCACGTTTCAAACATTTGAAGTGTTCTGCTGTTTTTTGACGCGCAGTTTTCACTTCATATGTGGAACAGTAATTTTGCAGCTTTTACTAACGTCCCTGCCTGTAGTATGCAACTACATCAATTGTGCAATTCCACACTGCCCAATGTCTTCCTACGCCCGTGTCCATTGTACCTGCTAAGCACAGGCCAAGCATTGCGAATGGACTATGACTAAAGAAAGCTAAATACACGCACTTTCAGCGGTACATAACATATAAACTTAGAGCCTTTTCGGCACCATATCATCTGCAACATCTCCTATCACAAAGTACAAGCAAAGTTAACAGCTCTTTGGTTGAAATATGATGTAAAATGAGTCACCATATCACATCGCTGCAGGACATTTTTTAAGGATTTCTCAATGGCGGACTGTACACCAAACCTGATTATGATGGAAATGAAAAAGGTGAAACGCATGCATCAAATATATAAAATAATACTGAAAGTGAACATCTCGATTCTTGCTGCGTGCAATATATCAAACCTGATCTGTTGTGCACTGATTGTTTGTGGTCTACAGGCAGCAACCATCAATTTTCATGCAGACCTTTGCTTTCCGTACCCCGGGAGGCCAAAAGAAGGCTTTAACTGGGAGGTCTAGATATAGGCCCTAGTAGGAGTGCACGGTTCTAGGAACACTGGGCAAAATGCCCACCAGCCACTACGTAAAAACAAACAGCGCACTACCTTCCTCAGGAAAGCTCACCCAATCCACTGTAGGCTCGATACTAGACAGTAAGAATGAAAATTGTGGCACTAACACCAGGTCAAAAGGTGTAAAGTATCTTCAACTGCTGCTATTAAAGCGGGGTCATAGATTAGGCAGGCTTAAGCAACGTCCTCTTCAAAAACGCCACGACACAAAATGGAAGGCTTTTTGGAAATGGTGGCTTCTGGAATCGACGTGAAGCACAGTTCACACTGGGGACGGAGTTTTCAAATATCCGCGACGCACATGCTTCAGAATGCCGTCTTCAAAAAGGTATGGTTGCTATTGCAGGAGGGCAGGGTCTGGTTCGGCACACAGCGTGATTAAATAGGTGCTAGTTATGAAATTTGACAGCAGTGGTTACCTCCTTTACATTAACTTTGCATTTTTAAAAATTGGCTTTTTGTGCCATCATTTTCAATGATCAGCTGAAACAGGCTTTCAGCATGGGTGATCACACCGGCAGCGCGAACTCGCCGCAGTTTGGAAGTCCGTCATGCCCTCTCCTTTAAGAAAATCCGGGCTGCCCATATGTTTGACATTCCATTTTGATGCCTCGGGTACACGTTTCTATGTTTAGAATGCCTGCGGACGTCCTAAACTACCAAAAAGAACTCGGACCGAAGCTAACAGCTAAGCTCGGACCCTCGACACCAACGCGGCCACAAACGCTCCCCCCCCCCTCCCCCCAGTGATCACACTTCTGATGAAACGAATACCGTTACATGCTCTTTCAATATGTACACTTTATCCAGGCTTTGTTTTGGGTTCCGTAGCACCCTCTTGACCTTGCCCAAGTAGTCATCAGCTCGGAGATGATTATCAAGCAGCAATAACTGGATGGACAACATGATGATGTATGTTGAGAAACATGGAATAACCACATGCTCATAATAGAATGCATTAGTCCCGAAAGTAGAATTCATTCCAATATGAGCATGAGGTTACTCTTATTTTCCTGAACAAAGTTATCAGCTTGGATGTTTTCAGCGCTGTTCAAAGTTATGCCCATACTTACCAACTACTATCAACTTCCGTGACATCAGCACATAAGCTTGTTTTTGTGCATATGCTAGATAGCTTTTTACATTGTTGGTTTCGTCAATGAAGTGAGCCATATCAGGCACGGGCACGCTATGGACAAAGTTTGAACACATACTAGCGTTTCAGACTTTCGTTGCGTGTTCATGTGCCCTCATACTTACCTCAGTTTTGAGCTGTGCTCATGCGGTATGTCTCGGACACTTGGGACTATGTGAGCGTCTTTCAAAGAATGAAAAACTACAAGCATCTTGCGAAATAAAGCTTGATGGATTTCTCTGTTACACGTCGTGCTTTGCGCGTAGTTATATTTGACAAAGTTGGTGTTCTGTTCTTGGGAAACATTTGAGCTACTATTGCTGTTTTTAATCGTAGTGTGTAGGCTCGACATTCTTTCTACCAATACCGGCGTCCATACCCGGAATGTGCCCGGCATTGGTACCCTCTAGGCACGTTGCCTGTTCATTCCGGGTGCACGTGAGTCCCAGCCGACCAGTGAAGGCCTCTTATGTCGCTGGTCACGAAACATCTGGGCGATGGACCCTCTGGGCATCACGTTGCATCACAAATTGAATGACGTTTGTGTGTATGTGATGAACCTTACAGGTCAGGTACGTCCAGTGATCCATCGTATTGATAGGCGTTATGTGTGAATAGCGATATCGCATTACAGAGCAGATATTTTTACTGAAAAGTGTCCATGCTAGTCATGTCACCCACGAAAGCCGGTAGTGGTGGAGGTACAGGTAAGCCGGTAGTGGCGGAGGTACATATAAGCAACTGGTGACGGAGGTACAGATAAGCCGGTAGTGGCGGAGGTACGGATAAACCGGTGGTGGCGGAGGTACAGATAAGCCAGTGGTGACGGAGGTACAGGTAAGCCGGTAGGGGCGGAGGTACAGATAAGCCGGTGGTGGCGGAGGTACAGATAAGCCAGTGGCGACGGAGGTACAGGTAAGCCGGTAGGGACGGAGGTGCAGATAAGCCGGTGGTGGCGGAGGCACAGATAAGCCGGTAGTGGCGGAGGCACAGATAAGCCGGTGGTGGCGGAGGTACCGGTAAGCCGGTGGTGGCGGAGGTACAAACAAGTCGGTGGTGGCGGAGGTACAGATAAGCCTCACATCGCGAACCCCTCTGTTGCGATTCGTACCTAACGAAGCTAACCAACCCACTTCCCCAGCATGTCCGGGGGAGACGCTAACGGCATTACTCTTCCCGGTCGTCGATAAATAATCCAACAGACGTCGCCGCGAAAACATCGTAGGCGGCCTGTCGTCTGCAGCGAGCAGCGAGCCCCGTCCCCGGGGTTTTGACACGTGCCCCGCCCCTCGCGTCGCGATCGACCTGGCCCACCGTCCGGAAGTGGGGCTTGTCTGCCCTTCCGCGCTGAGGTCATGTTACGGGCTTCTACTGTGCCAGGCTGACGGTGGGGGGAGGGTGCTGACGGCTGAGCGGGTTGGTGTGTGGCTGTGCACCAATAGACGGCTGGGCAGCGACGGGCTGTTTTGCCTCCGCGACGAACGCGTCCGGTCACTCGGCATAGATGTGGACGACAGAACCGGAGGCGTTAAGTGAGAGCGTTACCAGCATCCCGTGGTCAGCAGCAGACGAAGCTTCATTGCCACTGCTCTGACAGCCGCCCGGTCGCCGGCGCGCCACCGTCGCCTGTGTTTGCGTTATCAGTGAGTGATGCGCGTGACTCAAGCAGACCGCGCCCATCGTCACTCGACGATACGCACAATCCCCAGGCGATAACTCATGACACTCGCTCCTAATTGGTGCGTTTAGCAGCGGCGGGGCCCTACAGCGGTGATTGGCGGCGCAGGCCCGTCAGCTCATCGGTCCGTGATTGGTCCAGGCGCCGGCGGCTCGACCGCCAGCCGCGACCGCTCAATGCTGACAGCGGTGACCGTTGCAGAGTGATGCCCTCTGCCTGGTGGTGAACCACAATGACGGAGGGACGTCCGATCTGCCGGCATGGATGCTGAGAACAGGGTCGTCCTCAACGTAGGCGGCATTCGGCATGAAACCTACAAGGCCACGCTCAAAAAGATCCCGGCCACCAGGCTTTCTAGGTGGGTGGCAGGAGACCGGAGAGAACTGTGCCCCTGGTGTAACCATCTGTAGTGAACTTGGGCTAACAGAGTGGGATGATGTGCGGTTGTATATCGTGCCGTTCGAATTTCCCCTTTTCCAGGACACGTCGCCCCTATCAAAGTATTCATTCACAAGTATGAAACAGTAGAGTGATTGATTTGCAAATGAATCAAGCTGTTTTGCTTCTTTGAAAAATTCAGGAAGAAACATGACATCCGACTCATTAAAGCGGCAAACGTACAACAGGAGTGTGTGAACAGACCACCTGATTAATCGCAATACCCAAGAATCGTATGTGTTAAAATTATTGCACGCCTCGGTCAAATATCATGTTTTCAACATAACAAAGAATCACATAAATAGTCACATAAAACAATTATGGTTAAGCACGCAAGGCAATACATGGAAAGCCATGTGTTGATGAGCCACAAGCAACTTGCAACGCAAATCTGTATACATGCTATAGAAGTACACCAGCTTTTGCTCAAGCAGCTTGCACACGGATCAAAAACAGGTCTCAACCTGCGAAAAGACAGCACTAGAAATTACAAATCTTACTGTCATATGACATATGGTGGCTTCTTCTGCCTTCGATGTGCATGCACGTCTTCCCTGCTGTGGTCTTCCCTGCTCTTCCCTTCCCTGCAGCGCAGGACCGCATGCAGACATAAGCGGTTTGACCAAGGTCGAAACATGACTGCTGTTGCGAGAGGAAAGAAAACAAACTTTGATTTCAGACTGGAGCTTAGATATAAGCCTGCGTGACGGCTGATTCTTACATGAAACGCCTGCATGCATATGTACAGACGTTAAGCAATGGTGGCGCTACCAGCGGTGACCATTGCTCCGTAAATGCCTGTCATCATTTCGTTAAACCTACCACTTTCCTCAGCTTCCACAATGCCACAAAACACTCCTGAAGGATGTTGTCGCGAGTGCATAGGCATCATGGCACGCCCGTAAACTGCTAATCGTTGGAGCCACATCACCTGGTATCACATCACATAAAACAGCATGTGTCTCCGTCGTTTTTGTTTTGTTTTGTTTAAGGCCGTCGAGCCTTTGCCTGGCTGCGCCTATTAACGCCAATTACCGGGACGTTTACTTAATCTAGATGATCCTGACAGAGCAAGTGCTGCTGGCCGTAAATGAACACATCAAATAGTGTTGGTTCTACCTTAGTTGTCTATTCCGTACTACCATACCGTAGTTTCAATCATCCCCATCAGTGACACACCAGACCTGGCAGCAATTGAGTTAAACATATTCCGCGTGCGGAGCATGATGAGTTGATTAGATAAAATGACGGCTGTCGTGGGCAAGGGAGCCCGTTCCTGTTCTCTTCATCGCAAGTATTAGTCATTAACGCACCAGCTTCACACGAGATACCGCTTTAATTAATTTAGGATATCTAAGCTGGAATGGTTAATAAAAACAATTTGTCAAGGCCAGTTTCAGTCGCGCCTTAAAACGGTAGAATCTTGGACGTACCTGGGAATAAGTGAGAGCCTCATAGTCTTGACAACTATTATCAATATTTTGAACATAGCTAAATCAATACTTTGAACATAAGAGACACACCTACTATAAGAAAAAAAACACCTGTTGATGCCACCACGCTTCTCCGCATGTATGCAAAGTGTCCCATGTCAAACGCAAATTGCTCTTTGTCAGCTGAATAGCAAAGCTGGCCATCAATTACTGATCAGCCGAGCTACCGCACCGGTACCGCTGGCCACCTGGTTTGTCTGATCAGCCTAGCTACCGCACCGGTACCGCTGGTCACCTGGTTTGTCAGACCTGAGAATAGGCCGATTGCATCATTAGGCGTAATCCGCTGACAGCAGATTTTCATCGTGTTCACGTGACACTGCAGGGTCTGGCATACGTCTGCGTACCGTCTTTGAAGCTTGTCCAAAAGCATAGATAAGACAGTTGTAATAGCCTTATTCTTTGTAGAAAACCAAGAGAATAGAAATAGATGTGTTCATTTTTCGGCAACGTGCTTTTCTCGAAACGAATAGCAGACGTAAACTCAAAATTGCCTGCCGAGGATCCTGCTAGATTTTTATGTTTTTTTTTTAAACAGTTTAAAGAACCTGGAAAAATGGAGTGGAATCATGGTCAGATAATTTTAAATTTCCTTCTGTTGTTCTTTTCGATAAAGGCAAGTTACCAAAATATCAACGCAGCTTTATCTCCATCCTCCTGTTTTTTATGAGGAATAAGAGCATTACTAGTGTCTTTTCTATGTGCATAATGTTCCACGCAACTGCCCTTAACAACTTATACGAAAGCTTTGCATACAAAGTGCGACTTTTGAGCTGAACAAGATGCCTTCACGTAAGGGCGTGCTGGTGCGTCAAAAAATATGTCTGCTTTTTAGGAGACCACTAAAAAGATATAAACAGCTGTTCAGGAAAGCTCGAACAATTGTGACATTCTAGTCGATATGGCACTACATGACGTGCGGGCAACAAAAATATCGCTCAGAGTAAAGGCATTCAATATTATCGCCTGATTTTTGTATCCTTGTGTGTGTAGTTAAAGTTTTTGGGCCCGCTCATCACTGACTACTGTTTATGCATCGCACTCTCATTCGTTGCTTGAGCAGCCCATATAGCACGTGGCAGACCGTCAACCAAACGGATAGCTGACTTCTCCAACCTTCAGGCGTCCACACATTTGCTGCGAACTCCGGTGCAGCGTCAGCTGTCAGGAAGGGGGGAGGGAAGTGTGCCCCTTGGACGGCCTTGATGGGCACAGACGTATCGGGTCAACCAATGCATGACTCCGTCAAAAACGTTTTTGGGATTTCCACACCTGGCAGCCCATCAACCCCCAACTGAGGGATAATGTCATGCTCAGTCAATTATCCGATCAGGGAGCTTTTAGAGAGGCCGGAGGGTTGAAGGTAGTGTATAAAGTGTCGAGTGTTATGAGGGGTAGTAATACCCGACACTATACACACTACCTTTCAAAAAATTTAACCCAGAGATGTTGGCTTTCTCCCAGATTTGCTTTAGGGAGTTGCAGATTCGCACGAAAGGAGGAGCATGTAGGATATTGTCCCTTCCGTAACAAATACTTGGCCCCCGTACACGAGACCAAGCACGTGAAAGAGCGGCGCATGACCCACAGTCTCGCTCTTGTCGCTACAGCGCACAACGATGTAACATCTGGAAGACCACAAAAAGTAAAAAGAGGCGGGATCTGTGTCTGCTGCTACCCATGGTGGCTTTTCTTTTCCTCAGGGTTTCCGCCTGGCTTCCCTCAAAATCGAATTTCTTTTCTGCAAAAATCTGGTGGTGGGCTTCCATGCTCTCCAGCTAAAAGTCTTAAAAGTGATATGGAATGAAACACATTTTAATGTACAGTACCCTGCCAGACAAAATTCAGAAATTAATTCGCCGAAACATACAGGCATTCATGTGCTGAATCTCGTCCGGTCATTTGGATGCAACAAAAGAATTGCTACTAAACATTTTCGAAGGATAAATAAGAAGATAAGATAAGAAAGAAGGATCTCGAAGTCCTACAGTAGATGTTTTTACGAATGCTCACAGAACAAAATTTTTACAACTTTTTAAGAACTTTTCAAGGTGTATTTTCTAGCCACACATCTTTTATCAGCAAATTTGATTTAGTAGTATTTTGCAAATATTTAAAAACAAGAAAGGTTATGCTGTTATGGACAGGTATGATACCAGATCTCTTCCTACCGGAATCTTTCAAAACCTATGAAAAAACATTTGACAGCATCTCTGACGCAGACGGGACAAAATAAACTCCTATATCGCTGTAGTATTCCGTTCCTTTTCGTAGTTGAAGAGCTTAATTACAGAGCTTACCAAGCTTGCTTACAGTAATTAGAGAGTTACAGATCTCGCATACCTAAACATGCTCCAAAATGAATGATCTTTGATTGCAGTGACCCTCAAATCCCACCTTGCTCTACACAGCACCGTTGTGAACAATGATGGGGCAACCGGTATCCAACGTGCTCGACCAATGCACACTGCTGATTGTCAGGCCTAGCATTTTCGTAGAATTTAGGTGAGCTAAATGGATGAGCTGAAAAACTGTGTAAAGAGGGTTTGCTTGATATAACAAACTTATTCTTAGTTGGCTATACGTGGCTTAACTCTTGCATGTTGATGGGCATGAAAACACAAAGTTATCAGAGTGTTTGCTATATACTTAACTTCATAACAAATATTTTAAAAATACATTCAAGAGCTTTTTAGTGCACCTATCTATCGTGAAAGATGCTAGTTTATCTGCCTTGTGTGAGTTTCAAAGAATTTCGTAGTTTTGCTTTGGCGTCAGATATATTTATTGTTGCTTGTAACGAAGCAATGCCATGTGAGAAATGCTACCGATACTTAGCAGCAGCCATTGAGTTCAGTGCGTTTGCAGCTGTTTCGCAAAGCTTTTCACGTCACATTTGACATAAGCAATGCGTGAGACAAGACATAAGGCTTAAGCCCTTTGGTTGTAGCTCATTTTACTCTCCTTAATTCTTTTCAAACATAAATCGTACCTTATATCTGAAACTTACACACCAAGCTGAAGTTCGCAACAAATAGTCATTTGGATACATTTTTTCTCGTGGTCAGCTCGACACACTATGAAAAGATACAAATAACGCTCTCTCAGACCGTCGCTTTTCTTGACCCAAGTGGAAAACACATTCAACATCTGGAATGATACCGGATCTAGCCAATCATGCAGCAGTCTCTTGGTGGAAAGTCCCGCTAAAATCGTGATGCTTTTATTGCACTGCGTTGGTGGCATTTCAGCAGATGACCGGCCAAGCTGGCAGCCCTAACAAAAAGGCAAGGCCTGAACAAATTGGAGCCTTGTGTCCCACTTACTTTTCATGTCTTCATGAAATCATAATGAGTGACTTCAGCCATAACTATTATAGAAGACTCTTACAGGAGACTAGAAACAACTCTTATGGTATCAGAATTTCCTTAACACTATATTATTATAACACTATAATAATATAGTGTTATTATATAATAACACTATATTATATTATTAAATTTCCTTGACACTGTGGCGTTACAAAATATCCCGAGCCCGTGACTGTTCCCAGTACTTGTAAAGTGCTGGCAAAAGCAAATCCCTCGATTAAAAATATGAAGAGTACACAGCATACGCACCGACAAAGCATGTCTCGGAAATGATTTCGATGAAGCTATAAGCCACCTGCCCTTTTATGTTTTTACACTCATTTCTCTCCTTCTCTGCCTCTTGTCCTTTCCCTCTTTTCTCCCTTTCCTTCCTTTTCCATTTCCTTCTCTGTTTTTCTCTCTCCTTCTCTCTCTCTCTCTCTCCTCTCTCTCTCTCTCCTCTCTCTCTCTCTCTCTCTCTCTCTCCTTCTCTCTCTCTCTCTCTCTCTCTCTCTCTCTCTCTCTCTCTCTCTCTCTCTCTCTCTCTCTCTCTCTCTCTCTCTCTCTCTCTCTCTCTCTCTCTCTCTCTCTCTCTCTCTCTCTCTCTCTCTCTCTCTCTCTCTCTCTCTCTCTCCTCTCTCTCTCTCTCTCTCTCTCTCTCTTTCTACGTTTTTGTTCGTGGTGCTCTACCCTCTCTTTATGCTCCTTTCACTGGAAGATGGACGTGAATACTAGCCACTCTGCGGGCAAATAGTCCCATACATTCTCCTGTCAAGAGGGAGCCGAATGTAAGACTTTGATTACAAGACCATCTTGTCTATTGAGATCCTGTCATAGCTAGCTCTCTCGCTTGCTTTTCAATCTTGTGGTCATGCCATCCAGTAAAAAGATCGTCTCCCAGTCTCTGCCGCAAAAACCGGTCCTTTGAGAACATGAGTTGTGCCCCATACTGAAATCGTTTTTGCCCACAGGTTAACGGAAGCCTTAGCCAACTACGACCCCATATTAAATGAATACTTCTTTGATCGCCATCCCGGTGTCTTTGCGCAGGTAAGTTTCGTCTGCATGCTTCCCTGCATTCACTGTTCTCATCCTAAGCGAGCATTGCGAATTTCGTGAAATGAAGTGTCATGCCAGAGGTCGTCAGATGGGCCTGTTGCCTTGCCCAGCCAGACGAACCAATGTAGTGTGATAAGCTAGACACAATGCTACAATATGCTGACTCGATTTTGTTCCGGAGTTGCTTTTCTGGAAAAAGCGACGTGAAAAATCCCTTGCGCCGAGTCGATAGTCTATAAAAGTGATGTGTTACACCATATTCGTTATGTGAGAGGTGAAGGCGTTATGCGGTTTTCCTTTCGCTAGCAAGTTTTACCATCCGTACAGTGTGGCCTCAAAAGTCTCCGAAATAGTTAAGCCTCAAATGGTGGAGTGAAGCCACGCCTCGCTACACCATTGCTATTCCCCTTCCATGCAGTATATTTATGGTTGTGAAATGCCGTCCTCTGGCCTTGGCTGTGTTGTGTGTTGCTACGATCCAACCAGTACCGAACAAGGTCAGCTACATGTCTGCTTCGAAACATCGAATTTATTGATCCTTACGTTTGGCGGATGTTTAACATTGATCATCGTAAAGGGTTAGCTGGGTTTGAGCGCACTGTTGAAGTTAAACCTAATGTTTGTGTTTCTGAGATGTGTCGATCATCTCCTCTTACAAAGGGTGACAATGATTATTTGTGCTTCATTGTTGCAGCTCCTCATTTACAAAACCATATCCGTTACACGCCTTACTCAACGACGACGTTCCTTCCCAGTTAATAATACCTGACCACAGCCTCCATTCGTGAGGCGTTAGAAACCGCTTGACGGATTTCAGTATCACTCGGCTTTACAACTCCTGCTACGCTGTGTAGGACGTATCTGTCACCTGTCAGTTTCGCTACCAGTCCATGCGCTGGCTCCAGCCGCAGCCGACAGCTGCGCACTTCCCCCACGCCTCTGCGGCGCGCAACCAGAGCTGCCTCCCACACTCCCACACACTAGTGCCGCCACATGGTCTTGACGCACTAGGCCTGCGGACGCAACGCCATAATATTAGTCCGTTCGGGCAACTGTGAAGAAAGACTCCAACGCCACTTGAGTCGTTTTGACAACCGAGGTAAATATTTTCAGCATGGTATCCTTTCCTTGATGCTAAATCGTGTGAAGCCGGCCAACGGTGCTTCTTCGGCTGTGTCGACTTTGCCGGCGCTCTCTGACGCTGCCCCTCGCTCTCGCTCTTCCATCCCAGTGCCTTATCATATCACAGCGTCGACAAACTGTGAAACCCTATTTCGGTGGTTAGAATGGTCGGCCGCCTGGCGCCGACAAAAACCGCCCGGCTGGCTGTCAGCTGCAGTTATGTGATACCAGCAACGCTGGTAAAACTCTGAGCTCCTGGCAGAACAACGTATTGGTATAAACGGGCAACTGTAAAATGAATATATAATATGTTATGCATGGTTTCGGTGTAAATTTTAAATTGAGTAGATAACTTATATATGAAATTTATTATATATGTTTATATATTATATATCATTATATACGCTTACGACATGAAACAGGTGGTTAGGTGAACAGCAGGCAAAGCTGTACCGTAGTTGGTGTTTGCAGTGGCATGTATTGACTTATGGAATATAGTGAGAAAATATCGGTGCGGTTACTTTTTTCTCACAAACTTTGTATTAATTAGCTCCAACCACTTGAATGAGCTTACCGGACAGCGGATTATCCATTCTTAATGATATACAATTATATGAGCCCCTAACATTCTGTTCGATATGACATTCGTATGATGTCTGTCACACCATCTGCATCGGGCATATGCATGTTGCGTTATGGTTTCTTACAGTGATGCCACCTTATATTCTTGCGAACGACCTGAGCCCCCGATACTGTTTGAGTCTTCTCAATGTTCTTCTCATTCCCCCCTCCTCCCCAATGCAAATGATAAATGCTGGGCCGGCGGAATGCATTAGATGTCTGAGCTGATAGTGCGCGAGGTACCCAAACGCATCACGATCAACATTATCATCAAATATCATCATCATCACTATCACATCGACTTCAAATCGGAGGTCGTTGCCCAACATAATACCAGCTTGAAACCGGCCAAATGCTTTTTAAAGTTTTATATCCAATCCAGTTTTAGAAAGTGACATCCTGGTTTCTTACAATTTGCGTCCATCATGACACAACATCCCATGGGCTGATGTGGACTCAGCACGGCACTTAGCTAAGCGTAGTCCTATGCAGTGAGAATAATTATCCAGTTTAGACCAAAGTGTGACCAATTTGGCATGAATCCAGAACACTCTGTGATGGCTCAGATATATTTGGGGAGTTCGATGATGTGCATTAACCTTATTCCGAGGCATAATCCTCGATACCTCTATTCGGGACTGGATGGGTGGGGAGGGGGGAGGGGAAGGTGAGAAATTCTGACTCCGAAGGGCTTGGAAAGTGCTGGGCCGATTTTGAAAACAAACGGTATTTCATTTATGTCGCTAAGACCTACATGCATTTCAATACCAAATGTCAATAATCTATAATAGTGGAAGGGGTGGTAGGCGCAAGGGATGGAAGTCTACAAGATTTTATCATTTTCGATTCACGACAGTCATTGGCAAAAATCCTGTCATAGGCAAAACCTGGGGTTCAATGCTGATGAAAAAATGAGAGGCTAAGTAATTACTGTCACCCATAATGCTACAACAAATGCAAACGTATGGTGCCCATACAGTTTACATGTATCGGTACCAGATGCGTATTCAGTTTTCCAAAGCAGAGAAAGTGGAACACGTTTGTCGTGACCACCAGCTGACGGCCCGCTGTTGATGACCACGGACTCCGCGTCCCGTGATCCCACCCCACCTCAATGTTCCCGTTCCTCGACCCTCCTCTGGCATGCTAGAAACACGCGCCCGCTTGACCGGCTGAATACGGCGCGTTCGGATGGGGTTGGGGTCAGGTCTGGGGGTAATTTGACCTCCCTCCTGAGGTTTAAAAAGCTAAGAGAGCTAGAGACGGCAGGTTTCCAGGATATATAGGGCTTATGTGCAACCATTTAAGGTCCCCAGGTCATGGCCTTTGGTTTAAATAACATTAAACAGCCTCAAACTCCAGATAGGTGTACAAAGCACCCTGTGACCTAGCCCAACGAGTTTAAGCCTAGCTAAATTTTCTGAGCAAAACGACATTTGTGTTTAAATCAGGTCATTGACCTTATTCGACTTAAAGGAGATACAATGCCTAAAATTTCATGATTATTCTGATACTTAAATGCATAACAGCCATAAAAAATTATGCTTAGCAGTATGCCTCACAGAGCAAAGTGTTGATCAAATTCATTTTAAATCGGCTGCCGTCCCTTCACCTTCATGAAACCAAGCAAATACATGTATAAAAATCCTCGTGCTCAAAAAATTTCAGATGAGTGTCAAAACCTGTCCCGAAAGCAAGCTTCGTGTGAGGAAGCAGTTTGGGTTTGGGTCTTGATATGACCTTCATATCTGTTCCAAGGTTCATTAAATTAGTCGTTATCCTAATTTCACTACTCTCATTGTCTAAAAATATTTCTAAGTTATATTTGCCTAATACTCCGTATTTGCATGAGATTGAAAGATTTCTTAGGAATATCCTTCCTGAAAGCCATAGCCTGAGTTTAATCTGCCACAGGTCATCAGCCTTACAAGGTATATATAATACATATATATATATATATCTATATATTACATATATATATATATATATCTATATATATCTATATAATATATATATATATATATTACATATATGCTGTGTGTGTGTGAGGTGTGTGTGTGTGGTGTGTGGGTGTGTGTGTGTGTGTGTGTGGTTGTGGTGTGTGTGTGTGTGTGTGTGGTGTGTGTGTGTGTGGCGTGTGTGTGTGTGTGTGTGTGGTGTGTGTGCGTGTGTGTGTGTGTGTGTGTGTGGTGTGTGGTGTTGTGTGTGTGTGGTGTGTGTGCTGTGTTTGGTGTCGTGTGTGTGTGTGGTGTGTGTGTGTGTGTGTGTGTGTGTGTGTGTGTGTGTGTGTGTGTGTGTGTGTGTGTGTGTGTGTGTGGTGTGTGTGTGGTGTGTGTGTGTGTGTGTGTTTGCTGTTTAAAGATGTGGAAATTAAATTGTTTACAGCTACACTAAGCCGTGAATTTTAGAAGCTTTTTTTCTAGAAAATAATATTCCTGGGGGTTTTATTTGACCTCCTTTCCGAGCACGTGTGATGATGCCGCTTGCTGCACAGAAATGAGCAATACAAAGCAGCGTTTCATTTCATGCCTTCATATTCCAGGGCGCGCCTGAGCAAAGCTGTTTTCCCTTCCTCTACGTTCAGTTGTGCAAATAGTTTCCTACATCATCCATTAATCTCACTGAATTACTAGGCGTGAGGCCATATGGCTGTGCAAGTAGTTCAAAATTCAAAGATTTCCGGCAGGATATAGAGGCATATTCAATGTAAACCTACGTTGGCACCCGGGACACACTTCATGCTGTTTTGAAACACCTTTTTGAGTCCTGTGCGTGTATCTGCCGCGCTAATTTTGGTATACAACAGCAAAAGCACCCATTTTGCTGCTGCCTTATTCACTGGATACATCGGTCTCTCCTGTGAACGCAATTCACCGTGCATAATTCCGGGGAGATCACCATCTTAGCATGATCGTCAATTTTCGCCTGTGGTCCCTACCGAGTTTCGGCGCATGCCATGTACTCAAAAATTGGGGGCAATACGCAAAAGAGGAAACATATTTAGAGACAATCCAAAAGTTTTAACGGCCTCCTTCCAAGCGTTTTGGAAAAAGCAGTGAAAAGCCGGAGAGAATACGAAACATAAACCCGCCAGCAAATGTTAAGTCCTCACGGAAAGACATCCGGAAAAGAACCCCGTATTATGTCCTATCATCATCACGATCCAAAACTCTGATCGCAGACCAAACACGACATTGGTGGATTTTACCATACGCGGCCTGGTGTGGCATCATCCGAAACCAACATGCACAGAGTGCAAGCGCGTCGAACTTTACCAGCGCCCGCCCGGGCCAGCAGCTATCGATGCATGGTGATTATCCGTTTGGTCATTTCCTCCGGGCGCCATGCCAAAGTCTTCGACCGGAGGGTGGACGCGCCGCGACTGTCACGTGGTCCTGGGGACGGGGCGACCTTCTCTATGGCCGCTGCGACGCATCGTCAGCAGAACTTGTGCGGCGCGTTGTAATAGGCCTGGCGAACTGGGGCGACGCTGACGCCACTAGACACTACGCTGGCTGGTGTTTGTTCTCATTCAAGCCCTTGTTAGAATGTGTGTTCAGCAGCCTATTGTGGCTTCTATCTCTTCAACGGCGTGCCGACGCCGTCGGCCATATGTCGCAGGTGCTCAACTATTATCGTACTGGCAAGCTCCACTACCCGACCGATGTCTGTGGGCCGCTGTTCGAGGAAGAGCTGGAGTTCTGGGGCCTGGATTCCAACCAAGTGGAGCCCTGCTGCTGGATGACGTACACCCAGGTCAGTCGGCCACCCGGCATGCATTTACCCCTCCTCGGCCGCGAGGCGGGTCGTCACCAGAGACCAGGGACAGTTTACCCCTCCTCGCCCGCGAGGCGGGCCGTCGCCAGCGGCCGGGGACAGTTTACTGGGTGAACAAACAAAACCGAGCGACGGGCAGATCAGTGGTGGCCCGCAAAAAGGGATGGATGCTAAGATACGAAAGGTGAAAAGGGATGCGGGTGGTGAGAGAACAAAAAGTGATCGATGCACATTCCGCAAGTGTGAAAGATGAGGCATGGCTCTGCGTTCAGACAGTCAGACAGTAACCATCTTCAAAACAAAGCAAATGCTATCCTGGTATCAAGCAGAGGAACGTCGGGAGTGGTCGGACACCAGGCAGTCAAGCAGAGGAACGTCAGAAGTGGTCAGACACCAGGCAGTCCACCGACGCTGCGTTCAGACTCAGTGCTCCAAAAGTCCCATTGTGAATACTTAATTCCAAGCACTAGCGGAATATCCAAAAATAGACGGGACCAGTACTGGTAAGAGACGTCACCCGCGGTCGTGTCCGGCCCCTGAAAATGAATCGGACGCTGCCAATTCGAATGGCTGTTTAAGAGCTACGTACCTCGTCGCTGTCGTATTAACCCGAGCTGGCCAGTAATAATGCCATGATTTAGCGCTGCGCCCGCATGATGCACCTAGCTACGGACGTGGAGGGTGATCGATGGGCCAAGCGCACAGATCTGGGGGAGGAGTGGCACTCCAGGACTTCGTGAACACTTTGGACTGGCCCCAACCTTATAAACCCTCTTGTCTTAGGAAGATGAGAGCAAGCAATGGTCTAACAAAGCGTTTGTGTCCACCAAAATTGGGTAAATTTCTTATTCCTGCCACGCGTTGGCCCACGGTGTTAACAGTCAAACACTTGGGCCGTCCCGTGCTGAAACTGGCGGGCGTGGTCGCGAGTGCCGCGTATTTTCGGGGCTGGGGTCGGCCGGCGCTGGCCGGCTGCGCCCAGCTTGTGCCGGCCAGATCGGGACGAGATAGCAGATGGCCCGCTGTCGTGACCCGCTCACAGCGGCGCCCATCACGAACGGGCCCGGCCGGCAGAGGCGCACTCAGCGACACCTCTCGGCAGGGGCGCACTCAGCGACACCTCTCGTCACCGTGTCCGGGCGTCAGAGCTTTGTCGATCGTCCTGATCGAGCGGGCTGGACGGAAGTTGCATTGGTTTTGGTGTGCACGGTTGAGATGCGATAGCGCTGCTACAGCCGTCCTCCCCTTTTCTTGCCTCTGCGCCTGTCCCTGCCGCTGGTCTAATGTTAAAGTTGCCAGATAGGGCGAAGGACAGAAAGGTCATCCGTTGATTAAAGGCTAGCGGGTGCGAGCTCGAAACAGGCTTCGATTCCCGGCACCAAATCTAGGTCCGAGCGCAACACAGAAACAGATCTCTCGTTTCCTGGTTTAATTGGCAGTGGGCTAATTGCGCTGGCGAAAGGTCGAGAGGTCGCCAACCTACCGTCTCCGTGGACTGCGGCGGTTAACTATTGTGGTCGTAACTAAGTGGATTTGGTGGAACTGTGATGCAATAAGGACCGTGGTTGAGGGGTGGTCTAAGGGAAGGCGCAATTCAAATCCACCAGCATTTGATGATATAGCTTTGCTGGTCACTGCTCCAGTCTCTGATTTTGCAATTCGTGTCACCGGGGGGTCTCACGACCATGGACCGTGCTAGCGGCAATCGTGGTGAGTTTTGAACGCGGACAAATAGCTGACCGCACATTACGAGCGGCATGCGGTCAAAGACCGAGCGGTTTCATAACACTCTCTCCCGGCGACTTATCGGAACCGCCTTTTCAACTTCTCCCTCGACTTTTCCCGTCTCAGGCACGCCGTTTAACCGGCGGCTGGCTGTTTCATTGAGAGGCCACCCGCCCGCCGGCCAGCCGGCACTGCAGGTCCGAACAAAGCCCATCGGCAGGCGGCGGCCGGTGCGCGGTCCGTCGTCTCATCTAAATTCCCATTGTGTGTCTCCCGTTAATGAACTCAGGAGGCGGTGCATGGCAGATTAAGCCGAGCCGTGGTGGGGATGCCGTGCGCCAGTGCGGACAACTCCCCTGGCAGGGGCTAGGTGCAGAGCCCACCGCAGCAGGACTCGAGGACGTTCCCCTCTTGGAGTCGGCACTGGAGCCAGGGAGATAAGAGGTGGAACAGATGACCAGCGAGCCCTCTACCGGGCCCGTTGATGGGCGTTCCCAAAACCAAATATCATCTCAAATGACATTTTGAACGTCATTCGAAATCATAAGCATATTTTGATTAAAACGCAAAGGCAATTACTCATCCCTCTTTTCGAGTCCCAATCCCCCCATTCCGAGCGTTCTCTGGTCCCCACTCGCCGTCTCCGTCAACCGCTCCAGACGCGTCAGCGGGTTCAGCCGCCACCCCGGCGCGGCGCACCACAGCGCGTGGCAATGTTTGCATGCCGCGCCTAATGTGCCCAGCCGGACCGGCCTGGCGCACCGAGAACGCCGCTATCGACCGTGCGCCGGCGGTACCGACCGGCGGCGGGCCGGGCCGAGCCGCGCCGCCGCCGCCCGCCCACCCGCCGGCGGCACTCCCGCCGCTCCGGCCGTCAGCCGGGCACCCGCTGGCGCGGACGCTGGGTCGCCAGGCGAGGCGGGCACCGTTCTGGAGGTCGCGTTGCGCCAGGCGTTCGGCGGCGGATTTTTGCGCCGTCTTGTCTTCGGGCCTGTCGCTTTGTTTGGCGAAATGTCCGTTTCGTGCGTCTGTAGTCACGCGAAACGGACCTGTCGACATGTTCTTGTAAAACATTAAACACTAGTGAGTAAAAAATTAAACCCTGCATTGTCGGCCGGCTGTGTGAGCCACAGACGAACGGTAATTCAGGCGCGTGGCTGACGCCGCTCCTCCTGCCCATCTGTCTTCGAGCTCTCCAGACACTCTGCGACGTTAGGCTCCCATAGCGTGGGCTTGTGTTCTTTTCTCGCCACATTATCTGCGCGGGTTTATGTGGCCCCGCGGCGACGCAGGAGGAGGCGCCGGCAGATTCCCGCCTCAGATATCGCTGCCAAAATGGATTCGTTAGACAAGGGCCGCGAGCAGAGCACTTCCAACAGGTGTTTTCCGAAAGACGCGTCCCGAGTCGAGCCGGGACGACGCACGGTGACTTTTGACGTGACCGCTGTCGACGGCGGCTAGGTATCGAGCGGTGGAACGGTGGGCGGTGAGGGCGGCCTGCCGTCCAGGTACGGCCCGCCGCCGCTGGTCGATCGGGGCAGCTCGACCCCTGCCCCCCCCCCCCCACTAGCGCCCGTCTGACCCCGTTACCCCATTTGGCGCTGTCCAAGCCACTCATCGGCCACCAGTCAATCAGGAGGTAGCCATCACGCAGTCGACGTGTGTAAACTGGGTCACCAGATGGAGCCCAGGTGAGCCGAGTCCAGATGACGACGGCAGGCATGATCGTAAGCCATTCGTCGCGACACGCCCACTCGGCTATCCAATTACAGTGGGCAGGCTGCTGCCCGAGAAACGCCAGTTCATCACATTGCTCTGGGGGATTGTAGAAACAGGGAGAGTTCTAGCAAAGTTCAAAGTGTGCATAAGCTGCTCTCCGAATTCGGAGCAGCAATATATCCATATCATGCTCCCGCTAGGTCGATGTAAAAAAAAAAATCGCATTTTTTGCGACAACCTTTTCTTAAGCCGCTTTCATTTCCTCATCCGTGCGTGATCGTTTTGTAGGCTGTTCCGAAGACCGCGTCGGCATTGCGGAACAGTCTACCTAGGACGGCAGCGATGCATCAAGAATCACGCGCCCCTCTACGGGAAATATTCTCTTAACAAAAGTGTGAGCCTTTCGTACAGTGCTGAAACCAACCAAATTACTCTACAACTACCGGAATCCGTGCAGCTCAAGTGGCCCGATCCGGACCCACGGCATGGCTCTTACAACCTCAGATCTTCAGTACCACCTGGCATGCACACCACAAAATGATCGCAGTTGTTCAGCAACAGATCGCAGCATTTAGGTGGATGGTACCAACTCACACCGAATGCGTTCGGCGTCATTACGCATGCGGTTGGAGATTTTCAGCTGGACACGCACTGGGGGCTTGATTGCTAATATTTCAAAACGTGCTGCACGTCTGACGTGTAACTGACGTGGCGTCACATTTAGTATACACGGTCTGACTGTAAGTGAACGGACTCATGGAACCCTCAATGCAAGGGACAGTCTCCGCCCATCTGATGTAACTCACTGCCCGGAGCTGCGTCCCCAGGTAATCGGAAACTAGACCGTCTTGGCGTTGATTGGTCAAGGCATTTAAGATTTCTGATACAAGATGCAAAATGCAAGAAATCAATAACAAGTCCCCGAACTGTATAGTACATCAGCACACCACCCAGCAACTTAGATGCGAGCATAAAAATGTGATCCCGTTTAGCTCGTTCTCTGTGGAGGCATTTTAGTGGACGCAATTTGCTTTATGCAATAAAGATAATTGTAACTATGTGTAATCCTATAAAACAAGGCAGCAGGGAGTGTGGCATTGACACAATAGCAACTTAGCGATACGAGACCATATGAACCACTATTTTGAACGCATTCATTTGGTTCTGTACTTACTTGTATGCCATGCAGGATGTACTATAGCGTTGCTGTCGAAAATGCGCGAACAAATCTATCAAGCTTCGAGGTCGAGGTCAAACCTGGTCTTCCAAGCTCGACCAGTAATCCATAATGAAGAAGATGCGCCAACTTGAGACATACGTGCAAGTTACGTAAGTTGCTCAGTATATTAGCAAGGAACATAAGTCACATAGGTAAGACGGTAGTATTGGCTTTATTCCTCGGAGAAAAGCAGGAGAATAAAGATATAATTAGGCTGATATTTCGGCAGCATGCCTTTCTCGAAACGATAGCAGAAGACGTCTACTACTTACTTACTTCTTCTGCTATTGTTTCGAGAAAGGCATGTTGCCGAAAT